TCTCTCTCTCTGCTGGAGAATACGGACAGGAGGTTTGGGGGAACCGCCTGAGTCCGGGGCTGTTCTTATACACTGCTGACGTCACAGCAACGAGTCTCCTTGCGCTCGTCGTGCTGCGTGAACGCGCCATGGAGCTGTGTATTGAATTAATTCAATTAAGATAATCCAGAGTGTTTGCAGACTTTTAGAAACGTGTCACTGGGCCGCGGGGGCTCTTCCTACAGAGTAATCCGATTATCGCGGTGTCAGCGAGACTTTGTGCAGGACATCACAGCAGCGTTTACAGGCTGCTTCAACGTGCCCCTCAGCACAGATCAAAGTTCTCATAAAACCAGTGTACCTGAGCTCTGCCCATCACTCTGGACACTCTGACATCATTACTGACTCAAAGCAAGAAAGGCGCTAAAGCTCGAGCAGTGAGCAGACATGACGGTTATTTTGTTGCTCATTAATATCTATCACTAATGGCCCATTTAGGACTACTTAACAACAAAGAAACCATTAGATTAACAATCTGTGCGCATGAGTGCGGTGACTGCGTGACCTTTACCTGTTACCTCCTCTGCCTTCCTGCATGACTAAATGAAAATGATGTCACCCTGAAACACGCTGTATTAAAGCTGGGGGTCATCTCATTATCCACCCTCGCTGTTCCGTGGGGAGAAAGTCAGCGCTTTCCTCTACAGTTGTCTTTCTTTCCCCCTGACCGGGAGAAGGCAACGGCCCATTATCGCTTCCATTCAGTGAAGGAAAGGGGAACTTACTAAGTATTTGCATGGCTAATCAACATAGACTTAGCGGTCGGGAAACGGGCGCTGGCTGCTGCAGAGGAACGTGGATTCCAGCTCAGACCTTAATGGGACGATGATTGCATTTAACACTCTGCAGGATGTTCGCACATGCTGCTGTCAGGCGGCCAGATAAGCCTGAGCTGTGAAGATACGGAGGTGATTAGCACTGTGTGGCCGCACAGTTTACACACAAGCTCTGTTCTAAGTTAACACTCCTCTTACCTGCAGACCATCCGTCAAATTGTTTTTCCAGCATTTTAAAAATGTGGATGAAATACCCCTGTACATGTCAGCCTGTTTCGGAAAACGAAGACACTGCACCTTTTCTTTTAAAGAAACGTTTATTTTTAACATTTTTGCAATTGTTTGAAATATCGGGTGGAATAAAAAAATCTTTCTTTCTTTTTTTCTTTATTGATTTATTATCTCTAACCTTCTACTACGAAATTTCACTGAAAGAGATATTCCGTTGAAACCTCTGTACAGTAACACTGGGATAAGCACGGCGGCTTTTCTGTAAGGTAAAAACAAGTCGCGTGAAGTGTAGAAAAAGGCAAATACAATGCGTTGGTCCTTCAGCGTCATTTCAGACACTGTTTGTGATCACAGGTGCATTTCCTTTCTTTTGTCACGTTGTGTTTGGGCGCTTTTCCGGGGCCGTGTGTGTCTCTCTCTTCTTTGCTTTGACAGTTTTGCAAAAATCGTGAAAGCTAAGCGCGCTGCTGCCAGCCCTCAGTAGGCTCGTGCCGGCGAGGCTAGGCTGACTCCTGCCGTTCAGCCGCAGCCTGACCTTTAAACTACAACCTGCTGCTCTGAGGACGCTGTTTTACAGATAAGTGCACGGCAGCACTCTGAGCCAACAACCCCAAAACTGCATCTTATATTATAAAAAATAAAATAAAATGCGCCTTTTATACAGAATGAAGCTCTTTCAAAGCTTTTGCTTCCGTTTCATCCCGCTGCAGCATGCGTGCGTATGACACTTGATCTGAAATCTATCAGCCATGTAACCAAAACAAAGCGAACCTTAGATAGGAGCCGATGTGGACACGGGGGTGTTCACAGGACAAAGACTAAACTTACTCTGTTCTTTATCATGCGTACACGAGCAGTGTGCAGTGTCAGGCCTTCGGTATGATTGTGGTTATTACATATATACAGTATAAGAAGCAAAATATGATTTTTTCGTTTTTAAAAAATACATAAAATGCATTACTTATCTACATTCCAGATGAAAAAAGTTCAAGTGGATATTGATTGATTTGATTGTGACACATTTTGATTTTGTGTGTAGTGGGAAATCAGTGTGACTTTTTTGGGTCTGGAAACACGCTCCCGCGGCTGAAAGCCTTTTCTGTAATACAGTCACACTTTGATTCTAGCTCAGAGGAGACCGGGAGAGAGAGCAAAACAGGACCATGTGCTGTTATTATTTTCACATTTCTTTCTATATTTCTACTTCCAAGTGGCAGTGAAAGCAACGAGTCAAAAGGGATTGCCACAAAACGAAATGTCCATTTGAAATTAAAAGCCGTTGAAAAGCACCGTGAAGGCAGCACTTACAGGTGAATAGAAGCGTCAATCAGGCTGCAGATGGAAGCTGAGGAAGACTCACAAAGCTGCAATAGCAGATGCATCTTTTATATATCAGAGCCCTGATCTTTAAAACCTGCTTAAACAGGGTAAATAAAAACAGACAAACTTGTTAATGCTTCCCTCCAAGAGGTGATAAATATATGGTAAGGCTGAATAATTACATTATCAGAAAACTAGGTAGATAGATAGATAGATAGATAGATAGATCCAGGAAGTTTGGAGGATGGGTCAGCTTCAGCCGTTTATTGCATTCCTCAAACTGTCCATGTGTTGTTTTTGTCCTGGTTAAGGAAACCACTTGGTCAGCAACAATTTGTGTGGTTTCAAACAGCGTTTTTGGGTGTGGTGTGTGTTAAAGTAGCCACATGAAGGTAAGAAACCCACTGTAGTGTAATAACAAGGTCATCAGTGTTCAGTTCTTGTGGCATATCAGTGTATATTATTGTAATTGCACTGTATATACCGTTACTCTACCATAACTGTATACATCATAAAATGAAAAATTACTGTAAACAGCATTGCATAAGTGATGTGAATTCAAAGGAAAATGCATAAACAAACCTAAAAAAACACACATAGTACCAGCATTAACAAATGAATATTATGGAATGTGTGTGTGTGTGTGTGTGTGTGTGTGTGTGTGTGTGCATGTGTGTGTGTGATTGAATTTACTTGCATTTTATTTGAAAGGAAACCGAAAACTAGATTAGCAGACCTTCAAATTCATCAACTCACAGACTCAACCACCCCCCAACACACACACACACACACACACACACACACACACACACACACACACACACACACACACACACACATCCATAGTTACATATGTACATGTCAGATCTGTCATGTAGAGTCTGGTTCCTGTTGTTGGATCAGGGATCCACGATGGAACCCATGTGTTTCTAAGAACCACTTGCTAGGTTCAAGGAGGCAGCCCACCCTTCCTCCGTTCATCATTCCCACCACCACCCCATGCAAACCATCTTTTGCTCAAAGCAAACCACAAAGTGCCCGTAACCTGACCACAAATTTAATATCTGCCTCACACATGAAAGGACGCGAATCACAAAATGTCATTTTGTTCAGCACTCATTTTCTTCGCACATGAGCTTCAAGTAAGTTGCACACACAATAATCCTTTCACAAAAAGCCGGCCTACTAGAAAAAAAAAGTGATGAATGATGCTTCCCGACAATCCAGTCTCCAGACAAATCTGTAATTCACTTTTTGCTTTTTGTTGCATAAATTGAAATCATGTAAATTTTTTGTCAAACAACGTCACAAATATGAGTTGAAACCATTAAATGGATCCCAACAGCCCTGCAGTGCAGAGAGTGCAGTGCATGCAGAGTTTTATACAAAACTGCTCAGACAAAATACCATGTCATTTACATCCCAGCCAAATCCATCCATTCATCCGTCCACTTATCCCAGCTGTCACTGGGCAAAGAGCAGCGGGATGCACAGTGAACAGATCAGCTGTCATTGCAAGGCTAACAGACCATCATTTAGTCTCACATTAATAATTATGCACAACTACCAGTTAACCTAACCATCACGTATAAAAAGTGTGATGAGTACATACATGATTCATAGATAAATATGATGGAAATTTTAATACAGTGTATGATAACGATTAAAAATACAGCCAGGGTTAAGTCCATCTGCATGGGTTTTAAAATGTCTGACTGTGGTGACTCCTAGTGGTAGTGTGACAGTATGATGACTTAGATTTGTAAAAGCAGAGTTAGCCCTTCATTATTCAGCCTGGGGTTTATGGTGTAATTTCTAAACATTTATGTCATGTTTCTGAATGCATGGTGTTATTTTCAGTGCGGAGTAAATAGATTCAAAAAGTTTTTAAAGGAAAGGAGAGTAAGCAGTGAGTATCTTTGGAGTATTTTAAAAGCATATAGACATCAATTTCATTGTAATTAGTTATTTTAAGTAATAACAAATACCTTCAAGATCTTTTATAGGAAAAACAATAATATTTTCCTTTCTTAAATTATAATGAAACAGGAGTGGGCTGTATCTCCCCTTCCTAGACTGTAATTACTCATCACTCTTGTAGGCTATATCACAGAGTAGCCCAACCTCCCTAATTACACTGTAGTTAAACATTAAACACTATTTGGGGTGCAGACAGTAACACACTTGAGTTGTGTGGTGGCAAGCTTGCAAAAGGAGGTGCTTTGCTGTCACATTCACAGGCCTGATCACAGCTGTTTTATGAAGTGTGAGCATAACTTATAAATATCTGGACAGACTCTGGCCTTTACCACTTGAATGTACAAATTTGGTAGCATCTGCCAGATGCTGCCATTCAGGAAAGCCACTGTCAATTGTGTTGTGGGGTCAGTGTGCCTGAAAATACTCACCACAGATATAAAAACAAGAGGTACGGTATAAAAAGTACTCCCATTAAAGATGTCCACACAGTGGAAATTTAAATGTTTAACTTGTTTTTCTAGTCATTTTTTTTAGCATGTGTTAGAGGTGAAAACAAACAAATTAGTGTTTTGTTTTGTTTTTTGTTTGTTTGAGTGAAAGACACTTTTAAAGCATTTAAGTTCATCTCGGGCTTGGATTGATTTTCCTATGAACACTTGTGAACAGTTGGCAGTGGCAAGAGCTCAGGTTTTAGATGCACATGAATATACACAGTATTCAAAGACAGGGTGAATGCAAACATGTCCATTTCCAAAATGGTAGCATGGTACCTGCTATTGAGCCCTCGCTTGTGTCCAGTCATTTTCTACTTAAATGGTTTCAATTCAGTGCTAACGTCATGCTGTCAGAGGACAGAAATGGCCTGGCCGCTCTCTTTCAGCAGTCATCAATCATTCATTATAACTAGAATCCATCAACCAATCCCGGTAATTACTGATTACAGGCAGCCAGTCATATGGAGGGATCAAGGAAACACACACTTACACACACACACTGCCATCTGACTTTGTGTCGTGTCAGGAATCAGAAACACATTTGCACATTAGAAGGTCTGAAACATGCGCCCCGACTCCCCCCTCTTTTCAAAGAGGTGCTACTTAACACACTTTGGAATTATAAGAAATTCAAATCAGCTCTACAGGCTGTGGCAGGAACATAATGGAACCTAGAATTATTCTATCAAAACAAGCCAGAAGAGATGCAGCCAGGATGGATTGAACACACTAGAAT